GGACATGTGGTATTTCTCTTTCTGTGCTAGTTGTTTCACTTAACATAATTTTCTCCAAGCTCATCCGTGCCGCTGTGAATGTCATAATTTCATTCTGAAAACTTCTTTGTCTTTATCTCAATTTACCAGTACTAAAGGATGAGAAAAGTAAAACATATTTCACAGATCAGGTTGGCAGGGATAAATAAGCCTAACATTTCCCGTTAATTTATTTAAATTATTAATTAATTTGAGGAGCGCAAGTTAAAACTATTTTCCCAGAGTATGCTCTGACAATATGTATACAAATGAAAATCGTGCATCCCATTGGTTATATATAGACATATATCCAAAAATATATGTAAAAATATATTCATTGATGTATCATCATTAATAGGGGAAACTGGAAACAATCTAAATATACATGATGAAGATATTGATTAAAGATATATACGATACAATTAAAAAATGCAATAGTATGCAGCCATCAAAATTATGGCACTACTGACTTAGAGAATACCCTTCAGCATGTTGTTAAGTGTATAAAAATTATTTAATGAAAAACAAAGTTGGCAAAATATTCACCAAAATGTTAACAGAGTCTGGGGTGATTTTTACTTTTTTTTTTACATTTTTCTGTGTTGCTTAAATTTTCCAACATGAAAATATTTTTTGTTTATAATCAATAGATTGCAATATGGTAAAAAGTTATTTTTATTTGGAAAAAATCCAAGGAATATCTTTAAAATTTTACATTTTAGGATATTGAAGACATTTTAACACATTTCAAATATTAGCAATTGACAATAGTGAATATAAATTTAATATGGAAGCTAATGCAGACAACATAACAAACAGTGAGAAAGATTGGCACACACACATACAGAGAGGGTGTGGATCAATTTTACTTATAAATATAACTACAATAGTGTAAATAAAACATTAGCAAATCAATTTTATTAGTTTATACTGAGAACACAAGTATGGCTCAATATTAGGAAAGCTATTAACTGTGAGAGGCACTAAAAATCATCTGCGTAAAAATGCAACAGCTGTATTTGATTATTAAAGTACTACTGGTAAGATGCAAATAGAGGGATAGTTGCCAAATATACACACCCTCTTCCTCTTAAAATCCTTTAAGATGCTTTATTTATCTATTTATTTATTTATTTTTAATTTTAACTTCTCAATATACACTGCCGTTGATTTTCATAACACTTTATCCATTTTTCTTCCCCCCTCTTCTCTCCCCACCCCCCCAGAAATATCTGTTCACTTGTCTCAACAAGTTCAAGGAATTGTTCTGATTGTTGTGTCCTCTTCCCTTACACCCCCACCCTTTATTTGTTTTTGTGTTTATTTATTTATTTATTTTTAGCTCCCACAAATAAATGAGAACTTGTGGTATTTCTCTTTCTGTGCCTGACTTGTTTCACTTAATATAATTTTCTCTAAGTCCATCCACGTTGTTGTGAATGGTAGTATTTCATTCTTTTTTATAGCAGAGTAGAATTCCTCTGTGTAGATATACCACAGTTTCCTTATCCACTCATCTGATGATGGACATTTGGGCTGGTTCCGACACTTGGCTATTGGAAATAGTGCTGCAATAAACATTGGAGTACAGGTATCCCTTTGGTATGATGATTTCCATTCCTCTGGGTATATTCCCAGCAGTGGAATTGCTGAGTCATATGGTAGATCTATCTATAATTGTTTGAGGAACCTCCATACCATTTTCCATAAAGGCTGCACCATTTTGCAGTCCCACCAATGGTGTATGAGATTTCCTTTTCCTCTGCATCCTCTCCAGCATTTATCATTCTCAGTCTTTTGGATATTAGCTGTCCTGAATGGAGTGAGATGGTTATCTCAAAGTGGGCTTGATTTGTATTTCCTGGATGGTGAGTGAGGTCGAGCATTTTTTCATGTGTCTGTTGGCAATTCGTATATCTTCCTTTGAGAAATGCCTATTCAGCTCCTTTGCCCATTTTTTAACTTTGCCCATTTTTTAATTACGAAGTTATACGTTCGTATATCTTCCTTTGAGAAATGCCTATTCAGCTCCTTTGCCCATTTTTTAATTCGGTTTTTTGGTTTTTTTCTGTAAACTTGTTTCAGTTCCTTGTATATTCTGGCTATTAATCGTTTGTCAGAGGTAAAGCTTGCAAATATTTTCTCCCACTCTGTTGGTTGTCTATTCACTCTGTTGATTGTTCCTTTTGCCGTGCAGAAGCTTTTAAATTTGATATAATCCATGTTTATTTTTCCTTTGATTGCCTGTGCTTTTGGGGTCATATTCATGAAGTCAGTACCCACTCCTACTTCCTGGAATGTTTCCCCTATGTTTTCTTTAAGGAGTTCTATTGTGTCCGGATGTATATTTAATGCTTTAATCCATTTTGAGTTGATTTTGATATATGGTGAGAGGCATTGGTCTAGTTTCATTCTCCAATATATGAATATCCAGTTTTCCCAGCACCATTTGTTAAAGAGGCAGTCTCTCCCCCAGTGTGTAGACTTGATGCCTTTGTTAAAGACCGGATGGCTATAGGTTTATGGGTGATTTCTGGGTTCTCTATTCTATTCCATTGGTCTGTGTGTCTGTTTTTATACCAGTACCATGCTGTTTTGGTTATTATGGCTTTGTAATATAGTTAAAGCAAGGGAATGTTATGCCTCCAGCTTTATTTATTTTTTGCTCAGGATTACTTTGGCTATGCATGGTCTTTTGTTATTCATTATAAATATCTGGATAGTTTTTTCTATTTCTGAGAAAAATGTCATTGGAATTTTAATGGGGATAGCAATGAATCTGTAGATCACTTTGGGTAATATGGAGATTTTCACAATGTTGATTCTTCCAGTCCAAGAGCATGGGATATCTTTCCATCTTCTAGTGTCCTCTTTAATTTCTCTCAACAGCGGTTTTGCAGTTCTCTTTGTACAGATTTTTCACATCCTTGGTTCACTTTATTCCTAAGTATTTTATTTTTTTTGTTGGCAATTGTAAAAGGCTAGCTTTCTTGATTTCTTTTTCTGCACATTCGCTGTTGGGGTAGAGAAATGCTACTGATTTTTGTGTGTTGATTTTGTATCCTGCAACTTTGCTGAAATTATCTATCAACTCTAGGAGTTGTTTTTTTTTTTTTTTTTTTTTTTTTTGCAGAGGCTTTAGGCTGTTCAATATATAGGATCATATCATCTGCTAACAGGGACAATTTGACAAGACTCTGAATGATCTGGGCCCTTCTCACATGCACAACCTCTCCACTCCAGTCATACTGGGATGTATTTAGTTCCTTAAATACAATAAGCCTTTTCTCATCTCAGGGCCTTTGCACACATAGCTCTCTGTAGGCAACACTCTTTGCTCAGGACTTTAGAAGACAGCCTTTTTTCTCTTTTTTTTTTTTTTTTTTTTTTTGGTCCTTCAGCTGTCAACAAAAAAGACATCAAAATGTAAAATGTGCCTATATGTCTCTACATGGTAGAATTAAATCTAGCCTATATATTCTCTCATTCTTTATTAAAACTTTAAAGAAGATTTTAACAGCTTTATTGAGATTTTTATTTCACCTACATTAGGTTTCCAAAAGGAAAACATTCATAATAAACTATTTTAAAGTTTAATACATTCTAATTGTTTTGGTAAGATATAAAATATTGATCTAATGTTTGACCGTAAATAGACAATTCGTCCCAATTTCTTGAATAATGCAACCTTTGCCTGTGATTTAAAGTACTGTCATAACAGTCTGCTAAATTCCACATGCACTTGGCTCTGTCTCTGAGGTTGCATTCAGTTCTGCTCATTCTAGCACCAGCATCTCATTGTTTTAGAGGCCTGGATATTTGGCAGGGCAAGTGTCTGCTTGTTACTTTCTTTTTCAACATTTTCCTAGCTTATTTTTATGTTTATTTTTACGTGAAACTTAGAATAGTTGTTGTTTTCCAAAAATCCTGTTCTGATTTTTACTTCAAATAGGTTATGTGTTAGATTAACTCAAGTGTATTTGCACCTTTGCAATATTTCATCTTTCTATCTAGAATCTTGGTAAATCTATTCATTTATTAAATTTTTATCTTAGGTCTCTCTGGAGTATTGGAAGGGACTGCCCAATTCTTGTTAACATCGTAATACTTAGATTAGTTTGATGGTAATGTGATGGGATTGCTTTGCATTGTATTTTTTAACCTGGCTATTATTTACATATATATTATATTAATAATAATAGGCAATACTTGAGTGATCACTGCATGCCAACTCCATGTGTTAAACACTTTATTACTTAATTTTATCCTTGCCACAACCAATTTTGCACACAAAGGAACCAAGTCTTAAAGAGCTCAAGGAATCTGCCTGAGGTTTCACAGCTAGTAAGTGGCAGTGCTCAGAGTTGACTTCAAGTGTTGTGACAGCACAGTCTTAATCACTATACTCTGTGTGGCTTACCGGGGCCATTAGTTTGGGGTCCATTCATTTTGTGATTGGCCACTTCTCTGACATCCCTTTTTATTTCTAATGACATTTCAGTTGATTGTCTTAGATTTCCCAGGTAGATCATCTTATTAGCAAATAACAATAATTTTTCCTTTTTCTTACCATTATTTTTTTCTTTTTTCCCCCTTTGTGTAGTTGTACAATATCCACTTCTTATAATGCACACACCTATTTTAAATATCATTTCAAAACATATGCAATATCACAACATAATAGTCCTTAAACACTTTAAGAATATAGAAAAATTATAGGATTTAAGTTAAATCATAGACATTTTTTCTATAATATTGAGTGTGCCAGAAGTTGCTCGGATGATTAAGTTCCATAAAGATTTTCCATGTCATGTTTTTGTGCCTGTTATTACTTTGCTGCCTATTTAAAAATATTATAAAATTTAGCCTAAGATATTTTTAATGCTCAGAAAATAGATGGATTTTCTTATCTTCATTTCCTTATTCAATCGAGGGCACTTGGCAAATATTTGTTGGTGCTAATGTTGCAGAAAGTTGGGGAAATGGATGGAGGCAACCAGAGTGGAGACTCAGAGTTCCTGCTCCCGGGGATCTCAGAGAGTCCAGAGCAACAGCAGATCCTGTTTTGGACATTCCTGTCTATGTACCCGGTGGCAGTGGTGGGAAATGTGCTCCTCATCCTGGCCATCGGCTCTGACTCCCGCCTGCACACTCCCATGTCCGTCTTCCCGGCCAACCTCTCCTTCACTGATCTCTTCTTCATCACCAACACAATCCCCAAGATGCTGGTGAACCTTCAGTCCCAGGACAAAGCCATCTCCTATGCCTGGTGTCTGACACAGCTCTACTTCCTGGTCTCCTTGGTGGCCCTGGGCAACCTCATCCTGGCTGTGATGGCGTATGACTGCTATGTGGCCATCTGTCGACCCCTGCACTGTGTCACAGCCATGAGCCCTGGGCTCTGTATCTTGCTCCTCATCTTGTGTTGGGTGCTCTCTGTCCTCTATGGCCTCATCCACACTCTCCTCATGACCAGGGTGACCTTCTGTGGGTCCCGAAAGATCCACTACATCTTCTGTGAGATGTAGGTCCTGTTGAGGCTTGCGTGTTCCAGCACCAAGGTCAATCACACAGTGCTGGTTGCCACGGGCTGCTTCATCTTCCTCTCTCCCTTAGGGTTCACGATCATGTCCTATGTCCGCATTGTCAGAGCCATCCTCCAAATACCCTCAGCCACTGGGAAGTACAAAGCCTTCTCCACCTGTGCCTCCCATTTGGCTGTGGTGTCCCTCTTCTGTGGGACACTCGGTATGGTCTATCTGCAGCCTCTCCATACCTACTCCATGAAGGACTCAGTAGCTACAGTGATGTATGCTGTGGTGACCCCCATGATGAACCCTTTCATCTACAGTCTGAGGAACAAGGACATGCATGGGGCTCTGGGGAGACTCCTCCAAGGGAGCCTTTCAGAGGTTGACATGGGAGTAACTTGGGTCATTGAAGTTGAGACTGGAAATTTCCTCCACCATGTGTAAGGTCTGGGGTGGGAGGCGTATAAAAGTGAGAATGAGTTTATCAATTTGTGCTAAAGAAAAGACACTTCTGTGTAACCTGATGCCCCCCAGACCTTACTAGCCTTGGCAATAAATAAGGTCAGACCAACATCTGTAAATCGAGAATCACGTACCTCAGAGGCTAGCTGTGAGGATTAAATGAGATAACGTGCAGAGTTCCAAGGCCGAGTGCCTGGCCTATCGTAAACACTGTGGTTATCAAGCAGGGACAGCTGGGCAAAAGCAGCGAGTCAGGAAACAGCCTAGCTTTTATTATTTTTATTAAACTAATAATATGAACTTACTGTAGAAATATTAAAAGTACAAATAAGCCGAAAGTAATAGTATTTCTACCATCCAAAGATAACTATTACTTGCACTTAGTATAAATTCTAGACTTCGATCTTTACTAAATACTTTTTTTTTCCAGAATGAATTCAAATTGTTTGGAAACTTGCTTGTTCACTTCACAATAATAACATCTTTCTATATTAATAAATATCCAGTTACATTATTACTTAATGCCTGCAGAGTATTTCAGTGTTCCATTTAATGCTTATCTCATAATTCATCTAACACACTTCCTATTACCCAATATCTAGTTGCTTTCAGTTTTTCCAAGGTCAATAAATATCTCTGTATGGACATCTTTGTTCACTTACCCATTATTTCTTTCATGGAAACTGATGAAGTGAAGTTGCTGGGCCAAAGGTTTTATTTTCAGGGCCTTTGCATATATATTTTACCCAATTGGCCTCAACAAAGTTTGTACCAATTTATGCTTTCACTAACAGGGGACATAAGCACTTGTTTTTGTTCCGTTCATGCTTATTGGCTTTGTGATAATGTAAAGGAGAGGATACTCCAGGAACTTCTAAGTACAATAGGCAAAGGGAAAGTAACATTGTGCTGCTTTAACAACACTATGCTGGTTAACATTGTACTAAAAAGTGGGTGGGGCTAGGTTTCTAGTATCTTAAAAAAAATAAGCAGAGAACCAATAAAAGTAAGCCCCAGATTGGGGTCAACTCTGGGGTGAGAGTGGGGGAGTAAGCTCCCTTTCCATCACCACATCCAGAGGAAGACACTGGGGGGTGGGGTCTGGCCACAGGCTGGGGCTGCTGCAGTGGGGTTCCCCCTCCCTTCCTGCTAGGAGGGTGGGGTCCCACAGGAGCCGAGGCCTGGTCCACAAGGAGTCACCTCCTCCACGACCATCCAGTGAGGAGGATGTCCAGACCATGGGTGTGCCTGCCTTGGACAAAGGAGGTTTAAAGAGTGCATAAAGACTGTGATAGGCTGTTGCTACAACAGGGCATTTAGTATTGCTTCCCATAGGTTAGTTAAAAGTTCTGAGACCTAAGCTTTGGTTATATGTCTTAGGGAGAAAAAGAACAAAATAATCTGAGCTCTATTGAAAACAAATGACCGCAGTGGACCCTGCAAGGCACCTCGCACCCAGCGTGCAGTATAAACCGGATCCCTGTCTGAAACTGACACGGGAAGGCAGGGCTTTGGATTTCCTATGTCAGACTACAGTTTTTCTTTAAGAAGGGATTTAACATCTGCCTCTGGCTTTGAGTCCCAGGTTCTCAGTTTCAGGGGCCCCACTCTTACTGCTTTAACCCACTGAAGTCTGTGTGGAGTAGTAGCCATTTCCCCATGGCCTCACTGACACTGTCTGTTATCGTTTTAATACATTTTTGTTATCCTGTGGGTACAAACTGTATCCCCCATTGTTTTCATTGGAATCACTCTGAGGCAGTAAGGTTGGACTTTTTCCTAGTATTTGTTAGTGACCCATTTCCTTTGTTACTTATTCTTGTACATTTTTTGTTAATTTGTATTTTTGAGTTTCCAGTACCAGGAACCCCTACTTCTGTCTCTCCTTCAGAAATAAGCACGATTCTGAACTTTGTGGTGATCATTTTCTTCCTTCCCGTCATAGTTTTATTACATGTATAAGTACCCTGAAATATGTACATTATTTATGCTGGCAAATTTTTGAAATTTAATGTAAAAGTCATCATGTTATATGTATTCTTTTGTTTCAGGTTTATCTAGGTATAAAGTACATACATTAGAATTTACATACAACTTGATGAGCTGTGGCAAATGTACTTACTACTGTAACCTCCACCACAATCAAAATGCAGAATATTTTCCTCTCCTCTGTTAAAGTCAAAAGAACAGAGTGAGGGCCGGCCCGGTGGCGTACTGCTACAGTGCGCCGCTTGGGAGCGCAGTGACACTCCCGCCGAGGGTTCGGATCCCACATACAGACCGGCCGCTCACTGGCTGAGCGAGGTGCGGGCGCAGCGCCGAGGGTTGCGATCCCGTTGCCGGTCCCGGTCCGGTACAGGCGCTACACTGAGGGTTGCGATCCATTGCTGATCACGAAAAAAGACAAAAAGGAAAGAAAAAAAAAAAGAACAGAGTGAGACGAATCTCTAAAGGAATGTTTTATTGCAATCTGGGGCACACATTCAGACCAGGATGGTATCTGGTATGTGTGAAGAACAAAGAAATGTCTGGGAGTTTTATCACAGAGAGGAATGCTTTGTATTGTTTTGAAAGACAGCTTATTGGCACTAGCAAAGTTTTTGGGAGTTCGCAGGTTTTGATTGGATGAGTGATGGTCGTGGATAAAATGAATCTTAGAGTCATGGCAGGTTGTTTCAGCAGCTACTTGGTAAAAACAGTCTTAGGGTTGCAGAGGGTTGTTTCAACAGCTGGGTCTGTAGAAAATTATTTTTGGAGTAGGTGCTACATGCTCCTGGCCCCTTGACTCCAATTTTAGTTTGGGTATGACAAGAATGACCCAATTTGTATAAGCAACTTTCACAACCTCAAGTGTTTCCTAGTGAGATCAAGCAGGTACCTCACTTCCTTAAAGCCCCTCAGAAGTTTAGGTACAAGTTGGTTTTAGGCTTGGTTTTCCCCCTGATATGAGATGTTTTAGACTCTGGGATATAGACTCTCCGGTTGAGGAGCTGGAATTTACAGACAGCAATTACCAGCTTCTGCACCTTCGATGTGATTGCTGGGCCCCACACTTCCTACCAGGAACAGAAATACAGTTTAAGTTTTCCTGAAGGTGTAATGATGTAAGTAGTCTGGATACTCCTCTTCTGCTTCCTCTGGCTAGGAGATGATTATGGAAACACAGAGGGCTGGACTGGCAGATGGGAGAGAGAGGGAAAGGAAGGGCTTGTGCGCTGAGGGTACACCCTTCACCCGCAGGGACAGCAAGGTTCTCAGCCTCCCTGCCTCCGGACCCATGCCTGATAACTTTGTGTAAAGAGTAGAGATGGAGTGTGTCTCTTATGATACTCTTGGGTCTCCAGATACTTCGGGGCTAAAGAACTTGAGCTTCCCTCAAAGGACAAAATTCTTGTGAACGAAAACCAAAGATATGGTTGTAATCATGGCATTCCCACTTATCCATTGCTTGTGATCTTGGAAAGGTCCTTATCACGGTTGGGCTTATTTCCACCTTTACCACAGGGGCTGGGGACAAGACAAGATCTTCTCTCCACAGTTCTGTTCATCTCATGACATCTGATTTTAACAGTCTGACTGAACTTTCTTTGAAGTCTGAACACATCAGAAACATACAGGACTGCCGAGGCTTTAACTACACCTGGAGAGTGGGCATAGCCACAAAAAAGGCAGCCGCTCACTCAGGGGGCTTGCTGGGCAGTACCTAACTTCATATAACCCACCCTTGTTTTTCTCTATAGCGCCTATCACCGTGTGATACACTGTATGTAATGCTTATTTATTTTGTCTACTTTTATAGCATATGATTTGCTTGAGTGCAGAGACTTTTGTCTATTTTGTTCACCAAATCCTTAGAAGACTGTCTAAATCATAAAAGTATCTCAAAAAACATTTGTTGAGGGGCTGGCCTGTGGCTCACTCAGGAGAGTGTGGTGCTGACAGCAGCAAGCCACGGGGTAAGATCCCCTTACCAGTCATCTTTAAAAAAAATTTTTTGTTGAGTGAATGAATGAATGAATGAATGATGTAGGGTTTCCTTGTAGGACAAACACACAACATCGATATACAGGGATCAGGAGACAGGAAAAATGCTCATGGACCATTTTTTACTGGTTGCTACCTTTATGAGAACTTTTCTTCAGTTCAGAAAAGGAGGGACCCTATCACTTCTCAGGTCAGTGACTGCCTCCCCACAAATACCCGCCACAGAGCGCCCTGCACATCAGGGTTTCTGAGGCTATAGATGAGTGGGTTCAGCATGGGGTTGATAACAGTGTTGAAAACCCCAACCCCTTTATCCTTGTCTGAAGCCTCCTCTGAACCCAGACGCATGTAGTTGAAGATACCTGTCCCATAGAAGAGGCAAACCACAGTGAGGTGGGAGCCACATGTGGAGAAGGCTTTCTTCCTGCCCTCCACAGAGCGGATTCGTAGAACTGCAGCTGCCACGTGGACATAGGAGGTGACGATGAGAACCACAGGTGAACCTGCCATGATGAAACCCAGAGCAAAGAGCAGCAGCTCATTGAGTTGGGTGCTGGAGCAGGAGAGCTGGAAGAGCTGTGGGAGGTCACAGTAGAAGTGATTGACCTCTTTGGGACCACAGAAGTTGAGTGTGGATATGGCCACAGTGTGGGTGAGTGCATTGGTGAAGGCACAAGCCCAGGACACAGCCACCAATATCTTCTGGACTGTCTGGCTCATGCGAATGCTGTAGGTGAGGGGCCGGCAGATGGCCAGGAATCGGTCATAGGCCATGGCTGTCAACAGGAAGCAGTCCATCCCAGCCAGGAGATGGAAGAAGAAGAGCTGGGAGAGGCAGGCTCCATAGGGAACTGTATGCTTGTGGGACAGGAGACGACCCAACATTGGAGGAACAGTGACTGTGATACATCCAACATCCAGCACTGATAGGTTCCCCAGGAAGAAGTACAT